CAACTTTTTTGGACCTTTGGGTCACATTCACAAATTAAAAAAAGTTTACGCGTCAAACAATACGAAAAATTGACATGATATTCAATGAAATTTCCTAATTTTGGAATTTAATGCGTACCGTATAAAAGAGACGTGTGGGCTGGATACAGCTCGCGGAATGCCAGTTACTGAACACTTTTCTATGACATAGATGTAATTATATTTATCTGCGATAATATAAAATATATTCATTCCAAATTATTATGAATTAATATTCATTAAAATTACAGAACTGTTTAAATTAATTTATTCTAATTTCAACCTTTTCTGTATAAAATCAAATAAACTATTTTTGAGATTAATATCTTCCAAAATAAATAAGTCGTTGCATAAAATTAAATAAGGTTCCAAATTATAAATTGAATGGGTTATCGTATCACGTGAATCAAATTTAACAGGATTAATAACTAATGAAACATATTTTTCAAATAATATTATTTTAATTAAAATATTTTAGACTATAGTAAAAAATAAATTCTGAGTGATATTTAAAAAATAAATAAATATACTTAATATAAGATTTGTTTTTTTGACTTAAATTTAATCGTACTTTGCTTCACATGCTTTTAGACTATATATTATATCGAAATGTGAAATACTAAAATTTACATATTTATAATTATAAACACAAAAATAAGCTAAAAGCAACAAATTAAACTCAATATAGATGAAAATGAATTGAACGAAAGCTCTTTTAGATTTTTTGTAATTTTCGTTTAGTATTATAATTTTTTTTTTTAGATCAACTTAAGAACTCCGGATTTAATTTTTTTATTACATTATTAAAAAAAAATATGTATGTATAAACAAATAGTATCAGTGGCAGATTAAGCAATTTGCTGCTTACAAGCAGAACATTTGCCGCCGTTTCATTTTAAACTATTTTTTTAAAACAAAATACATATAGAAATATATTGTTAGTTAAATTATTCTTTATTATTTTAAATTTAATACAATAGTTAAATATTAAATCATTTTCGTTCGGCTTTTGAGATTAGCGAATGTATCGATTAGGTATTGAAAATCAATTGTCGACACTAATTCCGATTCAATGCACAAGAGAGCCAAACTATTTAACCAATTTTCGCCAATAGTAGATCTTAAATAAGTTATAGTTCTTTTGAGACACAAAAACGATCTTTCTGTCGAACAATTAGTAACTGCTATACAGGAGTAGCATATACAAGAGTAGGTATCACATTGTAAATTCTGGGTATTGTGATTTAATAATAATACCATATTGATTATAAAATATTATTTTTTTGCTTATAAGTTATAATACAAATTACTTATAATTATTAGTATTACACATTATTTATCTAAGTAGAGGACATTGGCTATGTACATTAGACCATATTTACCATGATTTATTTTAATTATTGGGTATATTTTATTTTTATACATTAAAAATATATAAAAATAAAATATACTTAAAGCGATGCTAATATTCGGAAATAGTTATTTTAAATTTTGATTTCTAAAAAATGTAAATAAACTTTGATTTTGTTGTTTTTTTTTTTGTTGCATTTTGCATATAAGTTTTTAAATGTATGCATTTTTGTGTAAATGTGTTTTCATCAATGTCCGTTTCATAAAATTGTTGTAGTTCTTTGGCTCCTTGAACAATATCATCGGTATCAATTGATTTCTTGTCTATGTTCTAATATATAGTATTCCTTTTAAACCCGCCAATCGAATTATGTCCAATAGTCAAAGAATCAATAGGCAATGGCGTATACATAACTTTTGTACAAGATAGTCGAATTGCACATGGATTGATAAAAAGTAATGGCCGAACTGCACTCAAGTAAAAAGCAGGAAGTGGTCGAACTGAACTCTTCAAAAAAAAAGTTAAAATGGAAAACGCTTTAAAAATATTATTGTCGCCAATATGTTAAAAATAATTACTGAAAAATGCAATGAATTTGGTTTAATATTTATGCTAAATTTCTTTTTAGCAGATTTTGAACAAGCAATTCATAATGCGATCAATGAAATGTTTCCTTTATGTAAAATAATAGGTTGTAAATTCCATTTATCACAATCATGGTATCATAAAATACAAAATTTAGGACTTTCAACTGATTAAAAATCTGAAACAGAAATTGAAAAATGGCTTCATAATATATTTGACTTAAGTTTTTTAAATGCAGTTGAAATTGACGAATATTATACAGATGATTTTATGTCAACTATCCCAGAAAATCACACTGTTAAAGAATTTAGCGACTATTTAGTTGATAATTATATTTCTGACGAAGGACTTTTTCCGCCTCATATTTGGGCTTCTGATAAGATTTATAGTCAAAAAACTAATAATGTATGCAAATCTTTTCTTGCGAAGTTCAATAAATCATTTACATCACCACATCCAAATATATTTATACTTATTGATGTTTTAACACAATTACAAATCGACACCTATATTTTAATGCAGAACACTTGCACAAGACCATCAACAACACGGTACCAGAAAAAAATAAATAATTTTCAAAAATATATTGACTTATATATTCAGAAGCGTATTACCAGGGTAGAATTTTTGAATACAGTTAGTCATTACTACGAAAAAAGAATTATAATAATGACGATAGTTAAATTTAACGATTAAAAAAAAATGTATAATAATAATAATGTATATAATATAACAATTATAATGTAAATATATATAATTAACATAATATGATGTATAAAATAATCATTTTTAACCACGCCAATGATTACTAAATAATACTAAATGTAACTAAATAAAATAAATCCAACCCCTTCAAATGCATGATCATTTTATTGAAATACTTTTTTGAGCCCAAGTGCATTTCGACTACTACCTGCTTTTTACCAGAGTGCAGTTCGACCATTACCTTTTTTAAACCCAAGTATAATTCGACCATACTCCTTTGTACAATGAGGATCATTTGCAAACAAATCAATATTTTTATTACATCATTTTTTTTACGTTTCTAACGCCCTCACAATAAAAACATTATTTTATAACATTAAAAAAAAACCTAGAGGGATCTGACCTCCATATTCCCATTTGTATAAGTCACTGTCAATAGGTACATTGGGTTAAATTATATTTAATTATAATATTTGGAAATAAGATAAGATTTAGAAGCTTTTTGAATACGTCTGGTACGAAATATACAAATGTACCAAATGCCTCAATGTGTGTAAACATTTGTTTGACATTTGAAATTATGGTTAAACATTCACATGGATAAAGGTTATTATTTTTTGTGTTAGGGACATGAATGTACAAGTATTTAAAGTTTATTAGTTTGCTATAATAATATCTCTTAAAAATAAATAAATTAATTAAAATAATTCTTAGTCTCTACCACGGAAACCTTTGTCGACCTTCCCCGTCGCAGGGGCCAGGGTCGGATTTCGGAATGTGAGGGCTCTGGGTCCACTCTTAGGAGTAGATTTTTTTTTTCGATTACACATATTTATAACCAAAATTCCAAATAACCAGAATTTAGGTTAGGAAAAAACAATGATTTGTTGTGATGAAACAATAAAGGTAGTAAATTATATTTATTAGATGATAATAGGTATGTATTGTCAATTGTCATAATATAAACACAGAACTTAAATAATAATTGTCATATTTATTTACTTATTTGTATATTTTAAATGGGCGAACCCAGTTATAATTATTATAGACATAAGTCTAGGATTATATACTATAGGTAGTAATAATAATATTTGTTATCACATGAACATTAATCTTAAAAACTATAATATGACAATACAGATAGTATGCAATTGGTAAATAGACAGGTTTGAGTAATGTATGTGATGAAACTCTTATAATTAAAAATAAATCACTGAAGACAAAATGGTTAAGAATACAAAATAAAGTTGTATAAAATTGGAACTTAATGAGATATTGACATAGATTGTAACATTTATACGGCAAAAATATTATTTAGGTAAAAATTAAAATGATTTAAGGGGACGCTGGAAAATAGATCAATATTTAAATAATTAACTAGTTGCATAAATCTATTTATAGGATTTATAGCATTTTTACCATAGTTTGAACGTTGGAGTTGCACATAAAAAGTAGGTATTCAATTGCCTAGTTCTACGATTTGGGATATTAAAATTCAATAAAGAAAGTACTTCCAGATAGTTGATATACCCGTTAATTAATTTGAAAATAAAACATAGATCGAGTCTTTTCCTTCTATTGACAAGGGTTTCTAGCTTTAAATTCGATAATAATGGTTGATACGATGAGTGAGGTTGATGATGACGTTCAATACAATATCTGAATTGAATGATACGTAAGAAACGGTTCTGAATTGATTCCATGCTTTTTGTAGCACCGATTGTTGTAGGGACCATATTATAGATCCATAATCGAGTAATGATCTAACGAAGGAACAGTAGAGTGATTTTAGCGTATTTTAATATGATAACTTTGCGAGATTTCGTCACTGCAAATTTTTCAACACTTGAGAAAAATTCAATGATCGTAATAAGTCAATTTAACAGCACAAGGCCTAAATCTATTTTACAAATATAGCATTGTGTTTTATACTTGGATGCAAAAAACCACATTTAGTGGAGACCCCCCTAAACTCGACATGGTAGGGGCAAAAAGGTTTTTTTTTTAAATAAACAATTATTATGTATTACCACAATAAACGATGGTAGGATAGAGACAGCATTGCATAAGCACTTCCCTCCAATCGGTCGGTCTCATTTTACTCAAAAATATCTCTTACAATAGTTAATTAAACGAATATAAATAGGTAAAATATATATTTTAATTTGTAGTTCTACACGCGGAATACTATAAAATTTATAATTGCACCCAAAAATGCAAACAAATCGCTTTTTATCTTGGTTACAATTATTCTGTGATACAAACGTGGATAATGATACAGTTATAAATGCAAAATTATACAATGATAGTTCTTATCACTTTTAAACGTTATCAATTTCGTTAATATCATATTTGCATCAAAATATGGTAAGAATAATAAGAATTGTTAATCTTTTGAAATCGTAAAATGCAAACACAAACCAATATTGTTTTTTAGGAAATAAATGCTTCAATTTTATTATTATAATGTCTGAGTTCAAACCTCCTCTCAAGGTACTTTACGTTATTTCCTTAGCTTTTTTGATTTAAAGAAATTAACATTTTTTATACTAATCTTTTTATATAAATATTTTATTTCAGCGATATAGAAGAGATGAAGACGAATCTAATTCTGATGATGATTATGTACCATATGTGCCAGTCAGGGAACGGAAGAAACAAGAGCTTTACAAACTGGGTAGACTTGCAAAAGTATTTATTTTTATTTTAGACATATATAAAAAAAAAATTTACTTGATATTTTAATCATATTGTTTTTAGCTTAAAGAAGAGTCAGGAAAAAAAGTAAAATCATCTAGTGATGAGTTTGACGAAGAAGAAATTGAAGGACAAGTATGGGGTAGAAAATCAAATATAAGTCTTTTGGATCAACATACGGAACTTAAAAAACTTGCCGAAGGTACAATTAAGTTTTTCATGTGAAATTGTTTGGAAAAATATAGCTTATAATATATAAATATTACATAAAATAAGTTTAATTACAGCTAAAAAAGAGAGTGAAATGGAAAAACAGTTAAAAGAAGAAGAAAAAATTTTAGAAAGCGTAGCAGAAAAAAAAGCTTTGATGGGTGTTGCAGAATTAGCTAAAGGCATCCAATATGACGATCCAATTAAAACAAGGTAATTATAAAATTAATTTTATTCTAAAACTTAAATTAAATTATATTCATAATTCTAGTTGGACTCCACCTCGATATATTTTATCCATGCCAGATGCTCGTCATGAAAATCTACGCCATAAATTACGTATATTAGTTGAAGGAGATGAAATCCCTCCACCTCTTAGACATTTTAGAGAAATGAAATTAAACAAAGGTATTATGGCTGGCCTTGCTCAAAAAGGTATAAAAAAACCAACACCAATACAAATCCAAGGGATTCCTACTGTGTATGTAATGTATTACTTCATTATTGGTAACAATTATTTTATCTATTTTCTCAAAATAACTCCACAATAGATTTTTTGATAATTATTTATATGTATTTATAATTTATTACTAATTTACTACATAATTATAATAATTTGTGATCAGTTATCTAATAATTTGTTGAATACTTAAAATTAATAAAACAATTTATAATCAATTTAATATAACTGATGTTCCATTAATAGTTATGTTTAAATAATGTTGATAAAATATTATTTTATTATTATAAGTAGGTATCATAATACACAAACAACTGTATTTTCAAAAAAATATTTATAATTATAAATCCGAAAAATCCTTAAGCTAATATTTTTAAAAATTTTGACCAATGCAAGATATAATACTGTTTAGTAAATTACTAATTAATGAAAATGATATATTTCAGATTATCTGGAAGAGATATGATTGGTATAGCATTTACTGGTAGTGGAAAGACATTAGTTTTTGTTCTACCACTTTTAATGTTTTGTCTTGAACAAGAAGTAAAATTACCATTTAAACCTAATGAAGGACCTTATGGTATTATATTAAATAAGTAATTTAATAAAATAGTTTTTTCTAAATTTAAAATTGTTTTATATTATATAGGATTGATAATTTGTCCATCTAGAGAATTGGCTAAACAAACATTTGATATTATTAATCATTATATTACATATTTAGAGCGAGCTAATTATCCAAGACTTAGGTCATGTTTAGCTATAGGAGGTATACCTGTTTTTGAATCACTTGATGTTATTAAAAGGTAAATTAAAATAAATAATGTATCTTTGAAGTGATTAAAAAAATATATTGTAATTATATATCCACATGCACTATTTAGGGGTGTTCACATAATGGTAGCAACCCCTGGCCGATTAATGGATATGTTGGACAAGAAAATGATAAATTTAGACACTTGTCGGTTTGTTAACACTGTTAAATACTACATAGTATTTGGTTTAGTCTATATTAATTTTGTTATTAGGTACCTATGTATGGATGAGGCTGATAGAATGATTGACATGGGTTTTGAAGAAGATGTAAGAACTATATTTTCATTTTTTCAAGTAATTATAATATAATATTTTTATATAATTTCAATTTCAATATTTATTTTAATTGTGAAATTTATTTTAGGGTCAAAGACAAACTTTATTGTTTTCAGCCACTATGCCAAAAAAAATTCAAAACTTCGCTCGATCAGCTTTAGTTAAACCAATTACCATTAATGTTGGTAGAGCAGGTGCTGCATCTATGAATGTTATTCAAGTAAATAATTTCATAATTTTTTTCAATATTTATATCATAATATATATATATATATATCAGTGGTGGCAAAACTACGGCCCGTGGGCCAACTCTAGTCCGCTATCATTGAATATCTGGCCCGTGAAAGTATTCTACATTACAACATTTATTTGCGTAACTATAATATTTTACATTTACGTAAAAAAAGTTAGGCCACCACTGATATATATTATACAATATGTAAATGAATTGGAAAGTTAGTAGTTATTACTCCTAATATAATGCAGATATTGAAGATTCGTTTTTTTTTTTACATAATATGTAACTTATAGCCCACCATGGTTAAAAAAAAAATTCAAAACAGCCAAAAATTTCGAAAATAGCCACTTTGTAGAATTACTTATAAGTTACTCAGAGAAAAAAAAAGTTGAAATTGGTTGAATTTGAATGAATGAGAACTCAAAAAAACAAAAATATTACAAAAAATATTAATGAGTTGTGAGTACTTCATTATCTAATATCATATTATTAGTTATCTATTTAATAGTTTAAAAATCATTCAATTTTACAATTTGCTGTGTTTTTTGAAAATATAAAATTCTCTCATTCATTCAAAATTCAACCGATTTAAAATTTTTTTTTGCCTGAGTAACTTTTAAGTAATTCTACAAAGAGGGTATTTTCGAAATTTTTAAAAAAAAAATTTTAGCGGTTTTGAATTTTGGATTTTTTATAACTGTGGTAAAAGATAGGCTATAAGTCACATATTATGTTAAAAAAAAACGGAACTTCAATATCTACTTCATATTAGGAGTAATAACTATTGACTTTCCAATTAATTTACATATTATATAAAAATAATATTATAGGAAGTAGAGTATGTTAAACAAGAGGCAAAAGTTGTTTATTTGCTGGAATGTTTAAAAAAAACTACTCCGCCAGTTTTGATTTTTGCCGAAAAGAAACAAGATGTTGATGCCATACACGAATATTTACTGCTTAAAGGAGTTGAAGCTGTTGCTATACATGGAGGAAAAGGTTTGACTTATTTTAAATATTATTTTATTATACATCTTATAAAATGTATGTGTTTAGATCAAGAGGAACGTTCAAAATCTGTTGACGCTTTCAGAAAAGGTCAAAAAGATGTACTTGTAGCAACTGATGTAGCATCTAAAGGTTTAGATTTTGAAGAAATACAACATGTAATCAACTATGATATGCCTGATGATGTAGAAAACTATGGTTAGTGACTAGAAATATCACAATTTTGTAATATGTTCATAAATAACACTCAAAAATGCTTAATATAGTGCACAGAATTGGTAGAACTGGTCGTTCAGGTAAAACTGGTATAGCTACAACTTTCATCAATAAAGCCAATGACGAATCAGTACTATTAGATTTGAAACATTTGTTAATAGAAGCACGACAAAAAGTTCCATTATTTTTGGCTGAACTGGAATCAGAAAATGAAAAATATTTGCAGCTTGGAGGTTCAAAATTATTATTTCATCCTCTCTTCCTTTTTTTATTTATTAAAGATATTGTATATTTTAGATGAAAGAGGTTGCAGTTATTGTGGTGGTTTGGGTCACAGAATCACAGATTGTCCAAAATTAGAAGCAATACAAACCAAACAAGCATCGAATATCGGCCGTAGAGATTACTTGGCTACTAGTGCTGCTGATTACTAAGATGAAGAACACAAACATAAAACATATTTTGTACTGACTGTTTTATATAAATAATACTTTTAATATCAGACTGATATGACTATTTTTAGTAACAAGTCCAAAAATATGTGATGTTTTTTAGTTAATATACTAATTTTTTTCTAAGACTTAAATATAATTTTTTGTATTCATATTATTTTAAATAGTAAAAATCTTTATTAATAATTCAGTGTTATGCTATTTATCAAGATAAATTGATAAAAATTTCTCTGTATTATTTTGAGTTTTAATTTATCTTAAATTATATGGAATTAAATTTGTATAAACAGCAATTTCTTAATAATTTAAATTTACTCCTTATTTCACCCTAAGTATTAAGGTAGTGTTCTAAAAATAAAAGTTAATATATTTTATTTATCTATAATAATATATTTTTAATGTGAATATATGGGTTTTAATTGTGACTCTGATACCATATTCATTTTAATTTTCAGGAGTCATGTAAATTAATCATTTATTATTGATTTAGATATTTTATAAAAGTAACAAATCAAAAATTGATCGTTGGAAAATATTATTGGTGTCAAATTTTCAAAGAATATTAATACTTGTTACTAGAATCAAAAATATTTTTATTTGAATAATCTGAATAAAATACAAAAGTCTAAAATACAACTTGGCAAAGGGCTAGTTAGGTACTTATCACAATACTCTAATAACCAACACATAGTTATAGTTGTAATACGATTACAAATAAAGGTACATTTTCTAGAACACTATTTTATGTTTATACATAAAGCTATTATCTATAATAGATACTTTATTACTGACAATATATTTGACAAATCGACCAAAAATATTAATCATTAATATTATGATTATTTTGACTTCAAAGAATCGTTCCTGAGTCTTTTGTAAAATTAAATTGTCTTCTCGAATTTTACCTCACAACACACAGACCTAAAAATAATACTTTTCCACTAGTATAATTACCTTATCATACATTATAACAAACCATCAGAATGTAGTATTAGGCAGTCAAAAAAATTTTGTAAAATATACTTATGTATATATTGAATTATTTGAATTAACTTGAAATGTATAATACTAAAAACTATAATGCAGATCAATAGTAAAACTAATATGTGACTTATAATATTATTACTCTTTGCAAAATCAGTAATTTCGTTTTCGATAATAACTACAGTCTAAGAATGTCTACCAAAGTTCTGTGTGCTTATAGATAACCTAACCTTCCATTTGTGTCATAAATACTGGAATATAGGGAAAGCTGCTAAATAGTTCTATACCTTAAGGTTGTTATGCCTTATCAGAATACTATTTTTTGTCATTAGCAAAAATATTTATATGTTGAAAACTAAAAAAAATAATTACCAATAACATCTTCTTCTATTACATATTATACAAGAACCATTTTCATCAACAATTACATATATACTTAATAAATAAAAAAAACATTGGTAAAAAATTATCATAGTTTAACTTTTGTTATTTGTTAATAAATTTGTATCTACATGTATTTCATTATTTAATAGAATTGTTATAGACATACATAAATGTATGTCCTTACGACTCTTACTGCATAGGGAAATCACATAAATCATAAATAGTAGAAATCGGGTGAACGATATAGAAAGGAATAATGAAGACCCGAGGGTAACACAAACACATACTATATATGAGCTATAAGGCTGCATTTCAAAGTATTATAATTAGGGCTGAGATCTTAATGTCCTTAAAAATACTGTTACAATTAATCACGAGAGCGTGGCTCCTGTTGTTCCCCAATAAGTTTTTGTAGATGTACATATATTTTTCTTGTTCTTCAATTTGTTCTCTTCGTTGCACTTAGTGACGTAATTATGGGGAGGGTGTCCACCCCTCCACAGATTTTTTTTTATGATATTTGATTATTATTTATTAATAATTACATATTATAGTAAAATATTTTGATTTTGCTATAATTAGGTATATATTAAAAATTGAGTTACAAAATAACTTTCATTAAATAAGGGACATAATAGACATAATAATAATACCATTTTAAATGTTATATTATTACATATGACCTCGTTTTAAGATATACTAAGAACACTTAAAAACTACTTTACTCTTAAACACCCCTTTCAGAAAAAAATTGTATCTACGCCACTGGTTGTACTACATTAATATGTTTGATATATGTTGTTGTATGGTAAAACGTTTTTCAACAGCAACTTTTACATTGCATACCTTACAGAACAACACTAATCCGTCGATAGAAAAATCTATAATCTATAATTTTAAATTCAAAAACACCAAAAATTACTTAAAAACTTCTAAAATGCTCTAAAAAATAAGAGAAATTACCTTAAAATCAAAAATTGTCATGAAATGCCAAAAACTACAAAATAAAATTTCTTATTCTAATTTAAAAATACCTAAAACATATTTGTAACAAAACGAGCATCGTACAGAAAGCTTTAGAGAAAAATGCAAAGTGTATCGAAATCCCGGCCCTAATTATAATAAATGCAATTAATAATAATATACAACAAAATATGAAATTTGAGCGAAAGGTAATATTATCGAGGTCAACCATTAAAATAACAATCTAGCAATTATTTTTAACAATAATTGGAAATAACTTATTCCATAGACATGCACGACTGATTCCACGAAACCCGAGTGTTAGCACCTCAGGGTAGTAACAATAATTGGGAATAACCTTTTTCCATAGTGCTGCGCGACCAATTTCCAAGAGACCTGAGTATATAAGGGGTTTGGGAATAGACCAATAATCAGACGTGTTTTAGTCCGACTATAGCAATCATCTTCTTGCCAGTTTAGTTGTCAATTTAATTAAATACTTGTACTTAAAAATATTTCAATAAACAGTTTAACTATGTTTGAGTACTTTTATTGGAATTATCCTAACAAATATCCTCATATGAACTGTTGAATTGAATGCATGCAACAGAATAATAAAATACGTTATTGCACATACATCTAGTTTTAATCTTTTACATTTAAGCCGAATTGAAAATATGCCTTTTAATTTATTTAAATTGGGCCCGAAGTCTTATACTCATGCTGCTGGGTACCATATTAAATACCAATTCAAACCATAGCAAAGATTAATTTTAAACGGCCACCTACGTAGTTTATAAGATGCAAAATTTAACCAATGAATTAACTAGTAGATATGACATACACACACTTACTCCACAACTGTTCTGTCCATTTTATATATACACTAACATTTGTAATTTTTCTAGTTGTAGCAGCTAATAATTATTGTTGGTATTTCAAAATATACTTAAAAAATCAATCAATATTAACGTGCACATTGCAAAAACCCTGAGAATGGAATCAACAAACTTTGCAAAAAGTAATAGCTAATAAGTTTAAAATGTTAACAATTATGTTTATTCTTGTATTATATATTTTACTTTTCACAAAAATAACTCGTAACAAGTCGATCTGCTGAAGTGCCATCTAGTTCATAATACATTCTTATTTTTTTATTATCAAATTTGTGTGAGTATTATCATTAAATACATTCAATGTAATCTGTTGTACTGCAATGTTATTGTAAATATTTGATGTATATTAGACTATTAAATTTAACCCTTTGAACGGATTAATTTGATTAGTGAAGACCATTATTTCGTTAGCTTTGCTATTTACCTATTTTTAATTTTACGTTTATTTCATAATTGTTTTGATTATTAAGTGTTTTAAAGTCATGAAACACAACCAGTAATGCTTGACGACATTAAAACATTTAAAAAATGACACAATATTTATTTGTGTTGATCATTTTGTCATTGACTCATGTGTTTGGAGATTGTTCTCTTGGAGATAGTTTTCCATCTTATAGGAATTGTGTCTTAGAATGTACAGAAAAACGATGCGACAAAGGTAGTATATGTTCAAATATTGTTACATGATTACAAATATTAGAATAAATGTAATAATTTATTTCAATACTGATATTTAGATGGTGTAAGATATAAGAGAAGCTGTTGTATTGCAGTTCTAGATGTTTTTAAATGGAAATGTTCGGAAAACTGCAAGTATGATTGTATGTGGCCGATGGTTGAAGGTTTGGTTGAACGTAATTGGCCAGTTCCTCAGTTTCATGGAAAGGTCTTTAAAAATGAATTGATTTAAAAATATCAAATATAAATAAAAAATTTTTTTTCTTCTATCTAGTGGCCGTTCAAGAGACTACTTGGTTTGCAAGAACCTGCCTCTGTGGCTTTCTCTTTATTAAATTTGGTATCAAATTTAATCATGTTCAATCGTTTCAAAGAGCAAATACGTTTCCCACTACCATCGTGTAACATATGGTCTCTATACACATTGGTAAATTTACCTATCAATATTTTTTAGATTTTTTTAATTTGTTTACTCAAATCACAAATATCTGTATACTTTAATTTGAAATAGTACTATGTATAGGTCAATTAGAAATTTATTTAATTAAAAATATCAATATAAAATTTCTATATAACTTATTCATTTTTTATTAATATTTTCTCAGTTGTTTAAAAAAATATATAGGTTAAAGTAAAATAGATAAAAATTATATTGTAAATATCTTTAACACTTATATACAACATTGATTATGTAATATAATGTTGGATCTCAATCACATACTAATATATTTCATTATTATTTATATCATAGATTTCATGTAGTTATATTGTCTTTAGGTATCAGCTAATTGTTGGATTTGGTCAGCTGTATTCCATGGCAGAGATACTATGTTTACAGAGTTAATGGACTATATTAGTGCATATGCTATGGTTTTATTTGCATTTTATACTATAGGCTATCGTATTCTTTTGTACAGTAATCCAATAGTAAAGAATACATTTATGGTGATCTGTTCACTTGCATTTATCTATCATTCACTGTATCTACTTACAACAGAATATGATTATAAGTACAATATGACTACAAATCTTCTTGTTGGTATGTAATATCTTATATATATGCATAATATTTTGCATATTTTCAATTATATTTTTATATTATTTATGAATTTAGGTGGTGTGACTGGTACAGCTATGTTAATATGGGCAGTTTTAAATCGCCGTAGAATGGGTCATGGTAAATATTTGATATTTTATGTACTTGGCATGACTTTGGCTTCATTATTAGAACTAGCAGATTTTCCTCCACTACTCTGGACATTTGATGCACATTCACTCTGGCATTTAGCAACAGCTCCCAATGCATATTTTATGTACAAGTAAGGCAATACAAACTTAAGCTTTGTAACTAGGCACAAAATACATAGGTAATATGCATAATAACATGGCATTGTTTGATGTATAAGTTTTGAGTTAATTTATATTTTTTTCTATACATTTTCAATGGAATATTGACACCCATTTTATTATTCTTTCCAATATTTTAAGCTCTCATCTGATAATAAAATAACTAACCAGTTATTATTTGTTTTTTATCTAAGGTCTTCTATGCACTATAGTATAATTTTATTATTTTAAGTTTTTAAATATTAAGTTATGCATTTACCTATGTATTTCACTTTAAGTAATATTAATCAAGTTACAATAGCCTAAACCTTAGTAACTTGAATTTCATTATAGGTTCCTTCATAAATAATGTTATATTAATTAATTTTATGAACTTAAATAATATTTGAAAATATATTATGTTTAGTCCTCTATGATTTGAGTAGGTAATTGGAATTCAAAACCAACTCACAATAGATCGATACAGTAGAGACTTGATTTTCCGGACTAATTCAGACCGAGCATCGTCCAGATTAACAGAGGTTTTTCAAGATTACCTACTCAAATGACTAAGATTTTATTTTTATTTTCACCATCTTTATATTTATTGCATTTTAAATTACAAAAATAATAAATATTTTAAACTAAAACTAAACTAATGAATTACAAAATAAAAAGGTTATAATAATATGTAGAACTTAAGTATACAGTAGTAGTCGGTAATTTTTTTCTGAATAACACTTATAATTTTAATTTTAAAAGCGTGTTCTTTTAATCAACGTACCAACAAAATATCAGTGCTATTCATGTTCTCATCTACTGCCCATTGCAATACAGTATTCAGTGCATTCACAGCTTCTGAAAGAGAACTTTACTTGTACTGATTGAGCCACTTTTATCCTCAACGTCAGTATCATCCTCTTTTGCTTCAATTTGTAGAATTTAATCATCAGTAAGATTTTAAGATTGGCTAAATCTTTGCGTCACGGCAAGGCTATTCAAAATGACGAAATTGTATTTATCGATAACAATATCTTATATTTTAATTGGGTTCTGGGAATTCTCGTAAAATCTATTTACGAACAAAAGGAATTATGTCATCCAAACTACCGCGTTCGCTGGATTATCGGGGATCCGGACTATCGAGGCTCTACTGTAGTATACTATGTTATTTCATCTCAATTATCATAATATTTAATTTAACTCCTATAATAATTTATAATTTAAATCAAATTACTAAAAAAAAAAATTTTAATTTTATGTTAAAAATAGTTCTTATTCTTCTCCTTCGCCTTTCTGCTAATTATTTGGGGTTGGCCACCTTTGTTCACTCGTCTAGATTTTCTAGATCCTCTAAGCACATACCAACAGCTCTCTTATCATTTTCAATCGTATCCTACCATCTATTTTTGGTCTTCCTCTTCCTCTTTTTTCTTTAACGTTCATTAACGACTCTTACTGCTTTTGTTTCCTATCCTCAAAATATGCCCAGACCCTATCAGTTTATTTTCTCTTATCTTGTCCACTATCGACGCTCTACAAATACTACCTTTCACATATCCGTTCCTTATTCTATCTTCTTTTGTTACTCCACTATCTTACTACTCCACATCTAAGCATTAATTTTAATATGTTAAAAGTATTTAAATATAAATTAATCATTGACATAAATAATTAATTTTATATTGTGTATCATTGTAATTTTTTAAGAAAGATACATTTTTTTTTTTATTATAATTTTTTAGGTTTGCGATTGAAGACTGTAAACATCAACGTCGAATGCTGCTAAAATGACAGTTTCTTGCACTGGGGATACCTCAGATACAAGATGAATAAGACTTGAGAGATTAATTTAGTTTTCCTAATTACTAATCTTTGCCTGACTTGTTAAGCTTTACAACAAAATTATTTTTTCTTCCTGAATAGAGCTCATCACATAATTTATGTGAGATATAGTGTAATTAAAAATTACTCTAACTTAAAGTGGCCAAATATTTTCTGATTCAAGTAATTATTTTATTTTTATATACATACTTTACCAACAGATATTATCATTTTAAAACCTCAGCTATATGTTAACCTTGGCATATTAGATGATAATATTTATATTGTCAAATACTAGATAAATTTGTTAAAATGTGTTAAGTTAATTTTCAACATTTTATAGAAAAAACTAAATAATTCTAATCATTAATAAGAATTTTCCAAGTATTTTTACTTGAAAAACTCAATGATATGCGAACAAAAGTTAAGAACAACTCAATAGTGCATAAAGTATGGACTAAAACTATTTTAACTATCAATCAAAGACTTTACTATCATGTTAATACATAATTACTAATTACTACTTCCAAAAAGCAACTTTTTACTACTTAGAACTACCAAAGAAAAACTACCTAATATGCCCAAAATTAATTATAATTACCTTTAATGAATCTCATAAAAGTTACTCAGTAATTGTGATAAAATGTTAACTTACCTTATAATAATATCCAGTTACATAATATGTAAGTTTCCTTGTTCATTTTGATGCCATATGATTACCATTTTTTTTATCATTTTGTGCATACAACCTAGTTATTGTTTTTTTTATATTTTTTTATAATTGTTGTTACATATTTATTGTAAATAAAAGAATAGTTGACAGTTTCTAACCAATTTATATACATTACGTACCTAAAACCAAAATTTAAATTGCTAGTCTGTTAAGATTTATTGTTATCTGTTAAATGTAAAAATATATCATTTTTGAAAAATATTAATATTTTGTATTATAGAATATGTTTTATTTGTTTTTGTTTTAATTTGAATTTATAATATTAAAAATATATGTATATGTATATATATATATATATATATATATATACTATTCAAATTGTATGAATACTTAATATTTTTACTAAACCTATTATTAGTAAAAGAACGAGAAACAATAAAGTTGAACTATTATGAATAAAGTCAACTAACAATAATATCATTAAAATCGTTAATTTTAAATGAATACGAAAATTAGGAAAAGACCTTATATTTTTCAAAATTGTTTTTCTCTTTTTAAATGACTTATATTGATAAGTAGGTAATTAACAATTTCTATTACCTAATGTACGTATGTTAATGTATGTTAATGACTTAACTTCTGAAAATATTGCTTTTTGTAGTTGAAATAGAAGTATTTAACTAGTAGTTCACCACTATGCGGATACCTGAAAGACAATTTAATATAGGTAATGTGGATGAATAGATCCAAAAAAAAATACTGTTGCTACACCATTTGATTTAGACTTGTACGGCACTGAAAACACTATAAGTGTACAAAAACTTTATGTTTTAATTATAATAAAAACAAGAATAGGTCCAGTCGTCGAAGAGTATAGTCACACAGATCAAGGGCGTATTTGGGTTGAGGCCTTGGGGGGAGCAAAACTAATTTTTCTTCAATACAAACTTAAAAATAATTTACAGTTCATTACCTACACCTCTTGTTTCTTTTATAATGATGACATATTATATTGATAAACTAGTAATTTATATTCTTAATTATTTATACATTATATTTTTTAAATAAATCAATGTATTATATTCAAAAAAATTACGAGTGGGGGGGAATGCCCTCTTCGTCTCCCCTTAAATACGCCCTTGATAGTTCAGCGGTATAGTATAGTTAATATTGGCAGCGGCTACGTGCATTCGACCTAGGGGCGTATTTAGACTTACTTCTGGGTGAGGAGGGGGGGGGTTTACTCAAATTTTTTCTTTAATTCAGGCTCAAAATTTACAAGTAAAATTGTTGGTATTATTTAAATCAGGTGAATCCTTAATATATGTGGTTTTTCTTTTTTTAATTTAATGCTGCGGCATACCGAGATCTACTTAGAATGGACTTTTGTGTAGTTCTTTATAACACCTGTCTGTGTTTTGAAAGTTACGCTTGTGTTTTATTCGATATTTTATTAAGTATGGACCTGACAAAAAGCCCAATTCAGTATTCATATGCGTAATTTAATTTCATTATAAAATGATCCACATTAAAAAAAATTTGAAATGTGTATCTCACATATAATCAACTCCTTAAATACGGATTCAGGGGGGCGATCGCCCCTTCTCCCTCTCTAAAATACGCCCCTGCGAACCATAATATTACGTTATTAAGGACTCGATACTGTCGGTTGATATATTAACGAGCAGACACGTGCCCATTTGTATGCTATGTTATTTCGAATTTGTTTGCCGTATGCGGAATTCAAACTTGTACAATTATCTTAAGATTTAAGATGTTTTTCGGTAACAAACATCAAGCACTGTAGACCAGTGGCGTAGCCAGGATTTTAAAAGGGGGGGGGCTAACCACTTTTTTGGATAAGTAAAGTAAGAGAGGATATGAGAATTCATCCTTAACTCCCCCTCCCCACCATTTACCACCAAGTTTCTAAACGTAATTCAAGCATTTTAGTATAGTTTTAAAAATATTTATTAATATATAATATTAATAATAATTTTGGTTTCAGTGTTCAGTCATTTGCTCCACTCTGACAGCTGCATCCTCTTAGACGAATTTCTGGCAAATTCAGTTATTATTTCACTTTCATCGAATTGCTCTTTTTTATTTATATTAGCCATAGCTAACCCATTCAGTCTGTTTTCCGACATGGTGCTTCTTAAAAATTTTTATAAGTAATTAAGTGCTGAAAACGTTCTTTCCGGAGTAAAAGAGGTAACTGGCGAATAATTGTAAAAGTATTTTAATGTTAGGTCGAAGATTGATGCGATGATAGAGTGAATCAAGAGCAGAATTCGGTTTTGGAATAGTATTTTGACTCCATTGTTGCCTCCATATGAACAGGTCAGCTCTGATTGTAGATGAGGTATCATCATGGAGATCTTGGACATATATTTTAGCAGCTTTTATAATATTTTTATCGTCATACATATTTAAATTGACCGGAATAAGTCCTTCAAGTGGCATAACATCAATAAGCCTTTGATTAAAACGAGCATACATTGATTCTATTAAATAGTCAAGATACAATCCCCCCCCCTTGGCTACGCCTCTGCTGTAGACTACTGCAGAGTAAAAGAGGTTCACACCAGTGGCGTGCCGAGATAAAAAATATTTTGATGCCAATTACAAAGTCTAGATTACCACCCATCCACCCATATTTAAATTCATCTTATTCAGAATTCATAAATCAATATTTCTCTACCTAAATATATACGATAATTATGTGAATTAAAAATTATTATCCAACAGCCACCCACCCCTTTTTAACTTGATGCCTGGGTTTCATTTAGACCTATATTCGGTACGCCACTGGTTCACACACGTATATGTGTGTATGTGTGTGTGTGTGCGCGCGCCCGCGCAGTTAAGATTGAAATCTCCAAGTGGGGTGCTTAATGCGAATACGTATACTGACGGCGTAGCGCACAAGTGTGATAAGTAACATTTTTTTGAAAAATGAGTAAAATGCATATTCAAATTAATTTTAAGATTCTGCACATTATGCACGAACGAAATTATAACATTATTCAAGTAATTTTTATTCTTTATTGAAATTTAAGGATTACTTTTTATGTGTAAGAAATGTGTTAAGTACAATAATTGTTTGTTTTTTAATTTTTTTTAAAAATACAAATATGGTAATTACAGGTTTTTTAATCGTCATTACTCATTACATGTTAAGGAAAATATAGCAAAAAGTTTATTACAATTCGTTATATTTTTAAATTGTTATAACAGCTCAAACTTAAAAATTGTTCTCTTGAATAATTACAAAAATGTCACTTTATACATTTGTGCGCTACGCCAGGCACCGGCAACACGCGGCCCTCGGAACTTTTTGCTGCGGCCCTCCAAATATATTTTATAGCTTAAAAATTAAAATGCCTAAATTGTCATAATACGAGAAATAGGTCAAAAATGTACTAAAATATAAAAAAATGCATTGAAAACGTCAAAAAATGCAAAAAATGTCCCAAAAAATGTTTGTTGGTAGAACACGGAGTACCTGAAACAAATGTGTAGCTTGGATGGAAAGCTACGCGTAAGACATCCCAAAAAAAAGATACAAATACATTGAAATCCGAGCCCTAGTTATAAATAATATTTAATCACGACTATTGTATAACAATGCGAGATAAGGTATGATCGAGAACGTAATCTAATCGCATATAATGTATATATCGTCGATTACAATAAATACGTATCTGGTTATGGCCTTAGTGCAGTTCGTTTCAAAACATTGAAACGTAAAGTTTAAATTTCAACTGTTTTATAATAACCTATCAATTCATTGTCAAAAAAACGTAAAATTAGTGATGAACATCGTACATTCAACGAATCATGGATGGATTTATATTTTTTTATCGAAAATAAAGGTAAACTGTAACGTTTAATTTGCCAAAAAACCATTTTATTTGTAAAAGAGTATAATGTTAAACGTCACTATGAAACAGAGCATAAATTAAAATTTGAAACTCTCACTGGTGATCTTAGACAGATTAAAATAAATAATTTTAAAAGTTCATTAAATAATAAACAAAATATTTTTAAATTACAACATAATCAAAACGAACTAGGAGTACGAGCTAGTTTAATAGTTGCTGAAATGATAGCCAAGTGTAATCGTCCATTTAACGACTCTGAATTTATAAAAAAATGTATGTTAGCCGTAGTAAATGAAATATGCCCTGAGAAAAAAAAACAATTTGAAAACATCAGTCTCTCAGCTAGGATCTGTGTTAGACGTACCGAAGAGTTAGGAACAAATTTAATGTTCAAACTGAAAGAAAAAGTTTCTAAATTTTATTATTTTTCTATCACAACTGACGAAAATACTGATGTTTGTGATACTGCTCAATTATTAATATTTATTCGTGGAATTGATTTTAATTTTAATATTTCAGAAGAATTAGCTGATTTATGTAGTTTGAAAGGAACTACAACAGGAGAAGACTTATTTATCGAAATTGACAAAACATTTAAAAAATTTGATTTAAGTTGGATCAAACTAGTTAGTGTTACTACAGATGGTGGTAGAAATATGAATGGAATTAATAAAGGATTAATTGGGAGAATAAATGCGAAAATGGTGGAAGAAAGACATGATTTGTATACATTTGTATACTAAAATTAATTCAAGAATTAATTAATAATTATTTTTAAATTTTTAAATTTTCTCTACTAATGTATTTAATTATAAATTAGTTGATAAGAATAACCGCGATGTTAACTCATAATATGATTGTTGCAATCTGTAAATATATTAGTATTATATGTTAAAATTATATTTTTCAATATTTTAATTTTTATGCGGCCTTCCATAAAAAACTGAAACAAATTATGGCCCGTGTAGGTAAAAAGGTTGCCGACCCCTGCGCTACGCTATCGATACATGCGATGAACGCGTCGAATACGAATTTTATTTTTTATTCCGTGTAAAAAAAAAGACCTAAAAAAAATGTGATGACACGACACGGTGCACCGCCTTGGTACGCCTTTGTCGTCGGATGGAGCAATTTATTTTACTGTTACGGCTCGCGCAGCACTACCTTTGGTGTCACATGCACGGGTTGTTTTCCTACGCAAAGCGCATCATACGGAATTATTACCAGGACATATTAAGTGACATACAAGCTTCTCGTTCTATAGCCAGTGGCGTATCAAGGGTATGGTGAACTTGTGTCTACGCCAAGGGCGCGAAT